ATTGCCCCATCTTCCTTCCGAGGAGTGGCTGGTGGATTTGAACCACCAGCCTTCTAGTTAGCAGTCAAGGGCCGTAGCCACTATGCTTCAAAGCCAGGGAATTTAATTCTGTCCACCTACTTTCAGAATTAACCTGAGTACATTGACTCACCTTCTTTCTGCTCAAGAATTTGAAAGACTGATTGTCATGTGTTCCTAGAGCCACCAGTTCCTGTCATGTGTGCAGTGTGGCCACACTTATGAAGAGCTGGCAGGGGGGTAGGAGTTAGGTAATAGAAAGCCAATAGTAGAGGAAGGGGAAAACATTCTGGAAATGTTTATGTCTTTCTTCTCTTGTTCTGTAAAATGCAGGTTACCCAAAGAAATAATATGCAAAACTAAAGTTAAGGTTGCAACCAACAGACGCCTAACATGGGGTCAGGAGGAGGAAGAAAGGGAAAAATAATAAAGAATCTTTAGCAAGAGTTAATTCAGTTAGAAACATGGAGATCTAATATTAGTACCCATCTACTTGTGTGGGTACTTGGGTTGTTGTTGTTGTAGCATTCTGTATCAACTTCTTCTATTGGATGCCCAAAGAGTAAAGACCCTGTCAGAAGCACATTATCAAAGGTACAATCTCTGACTCAATAGTATGTACATGATTGTCTACCACCTGAACAAGAGGCTGAATGAAATTAAGTTCTTTATTGAGATATTTGGTTGAGTCACATATTTGTCCACATCTCCATTCTCAGTTTAGTTTTTCCCAGTAAGGAACAGAAACACACAAAACTCATGAGTAGAGGCTACCGAATTCCTGAATTTCCAGTTCATCTGTAAAAGCCACTATTAGGTAACTATATATATATATACATATATATAATAATATATATAATGTATTATAAAATATATGTGATGAAGTACTTTAAGAAAATGCTTTTGAAATATTACAAAGTAATTGTTATTGTCTATGTCAATTGATCATTTTGCTTGTTGAACATTATGTTCTTGAAGACTGACATCATTATAATTTGATTTTGAGAAACACTCTACTGGTATCTTAACTGGGAAAATGTCTCATCTTACTCTTAAAAATACTAGCTCTGTTCTTGGCAGGGAGATCTTTTTGAAGAAGCACTATTTTGCCTCCCACCCTATGTCTTACATCTGCACGAGTGTAGAGTAGACCTCAATAACAATATGGAGAATTTGATCTGCTTACACATTTTTGTCCCCTCACCCACATCTATAAGAAGATAACTTTTTAATTGTAAATTTTCATCTCTGTGGGCATATGTCAAATAATATAGCAGTGTTACCAACAATAGAAAAAAACAAATAAAGCCATCCATAAAATTGTATCTGGCCAAAAATAAGGACAGGCATGATCAGTTATGCATAGCATATCACTATCATAAAATAATAACTAGGAATACTGCATAGAAACATGAAATCATAATTAGGATTTAAGTAAAAGGGAAAAGAAAAACCCTTGATTATAATATGTTAAGCCATGTATGCATGTGGAGGAGGCCTGGAAGATGATATACTACAAAGGGAATAGTTCTGTTAGGATGGTGGGGTTATGAATTTTCAAAAATATTTTGTTTATTGTTATAAAGTAATAGTAATAATAACAACAGCAAATTCACCAAACTCATATCTAAAGATTTCCTCAGTGATAAACACATTAGAGGACGTTTTCATTCCTAAGAGTTACTTGATAATCTTCACCTTCACAGAAATCTGGTTTTCCTCTTTGAAAATGCATTGGAATTGTTAAATGATTAAATTATTAAATGATGCTGTGGGTGTAGAGAGATACTGATAAGTAATAAGCAGAGGTTGTATCTTACAAAAGGGAAGAAACTTTTAAAATATTGAATTTCCCTTTCCTACATTTGCCATTATTTGTCAGCTCATTGGCTATTGAGTTCTACAGTATTTAAAACATTTTTTTTTCCCACAGGAACTGGTTAGTGAAGTTTGGAAGAGAGTCTGAACTTAATTTAACTATATCTGGATTTGTTTGCCATGATGATTGCAGTAGGGACTAAAATTTGAAATCATTGTCTAAATAGGTTCCAGCTTGGGAAGCTCGGCTTAATTCACACTTAGGAATCAAAAAGCAATTTGGAAAAGCACCCACAAACATAATAGGTAGTAATATAGAGCAAGAGAAATTCAGTAGAGAAAATTTAAAAATAAAATAAGCATTTAAAATAAATTTGAAACAGCTATTCAGTTAACAACAAAATAAGGAAACTGATGTCTACTTTAAACTTGTATCTGTCTGGAAGTGCTTAAAGGCTACCAGGAACATATTTTCATGTCTATATGTTATTATTATTAACAATTTGTTGAAACTGTTAATTTGAATGACTTACCCTATTTTCCTTTAAAGGGCTTGGATACTTTTCTCTCCTTGTTTTCCCTTTTTCTACAGTTTTACCCTGAATAATATGTACAAGTATTATTTTGGGCACCAGGCTACCTTGCTTCGATATTAGAAGGGAGTTGCTTAATTTGGGATGTTCAGAAAAACACATACAGACAATCACACATTTTATTTCTTTCTAGGACAACCTCTTTTCAGATCTTATATAAAATTTGATGAGCCTCTCTCTGATGTCAATCATCTCACGTCTAAAGATATGCTCAGTGGTAAACACATTAGAGGAAGTTTTTATTCCTTAGAGTTAGTCAATAATCTTCACTTTCACAGAAATATGGTTTTCCTCTTTGAAAATGTATTAGAATTATTAAAATGTATTTTGATTTCAGGAAACTATTCTTCCCCCTATCCCAGAACCCAAGTAAGTGTATTAGATTACTTTTGGCTATACCAATATATAAAATTTTTTCCTAAAAAAACTATTTTCCTCATAATATCTTCATTCTATTCACAGAAATGTACCTGCGTGAACAAATAATATTTATAATAAAAGAAAATCTGCTTTTATACATCTACAAAATTCTTTTGAGTGGTAGCAAGAATTCAATCCATGTTGCATATGTGTTATCACAAATTGTGTAACTTTGGCATGCATTTTTTGGGAATTCACTTCCTGACACCATAAAAAGTGTCTTTGACATAATATCAGAGAATATTCAAACCGGAATGAATTACAGAAACAATCTAGTGTAAATCAGTCATCCTCCCCCATTCCAAAAAGTAGGAAACTGAGGTGAAAGAAGATGAAATTAATACATGGGCACACATCTCATTTTCTGATATATAAGCCCTACCAAAAAAAAAATCCACTTGTTTAGACTTGATTTTAAAATTGTGATTCTTTAAGGGCATGATTCTAAAGACAGACAATTTCTACACTTGCATTCTTTAAGAAGGGTTGGATCTGAAAAACACAAAAGAGGAATGCCCAACATTTTTGTCCTCAATTCCCCTTTTCAGAGAAAGCGGTTGAAACTATTTTCATTTATAATGATCACTTTTTGAAGAATGCAAAATTATCCTTATGTTCAAGATAAAATCTACCATCATTTCAGGATATCACCCACTATTTCTTTTCAACAGAGATCAAATGGTATTCTGGCTGATTGCCCTTCTTGTCTATTGCAGTTGAGCAAGTAAAATAGGAAATATTTTTTTAGGATTCCATTGTGTTCTTTTTCCTTAGCAGCAAAAAAGAATGAAACAAAACAGATCTTTGTTTTATAATATTCACTGATCAGATAAATTTAATAAAATCTGGACTTTAGTTAAATCCAGTAAGATTAACTGTTTCATTGGCATTTACAGTCTGTGTGGGTGTTGAATAAATGTACAAATAATGACACTTTCAAAGGTTTAACCATTGCATTCCATGCAAATTCTACATAAAGTCCAGAATCACTGTATTGATTTTATAGTCTTCAGATATTAAATGGCATGTAATCCACAAAACCCGGACACTTTGCTATCAAGTTAATTTTGACTCATCATGACCCTCTAGGACAGAGTAGAACTGCCCCAAGGTGTATCCAAGGCTCTTATCTTTACAAAAGCCCCATCTTTCTCCTGTGGAGTGGCTGGTGTGTTTGAACAACCAACCTTTCAGTTAGCAGCCAAGCTCTTTAACCACTGCATCACTAGGCTCCTTAAATGGCATATAAGAATAGTAATTACCAATATATGTCTCCCAGAAATGTTAGACACTTGCATATATATAGCCATCATTTTGACTTGATGAAAGCAAGTTCTAATCTATGAAATTTTTTCAAGTCATTGTACACTTGATGAGGAAATTATACATGAATGATAGTGTTTTTTTTTTTTTTAAATTTTTGATACTCACCAAATCAATTTAAACAGAGTTTAAGAAGTAATATACTCATCTAAAAATGGTTAATTTTTCACATAGCTGGTCACACTTTCCTTAATTTAAAGTTTCCAGTCTTGACAGAGGATAATGCCATAAAACTCATTACATAATTCAACTGTCTTTAACTCTCCCTCTCTCCAAAAATCATCCCACCTAAGAAGAGATGTAATTATTCTCTCTTGATTTTTTTCTTTCAGTAAATATCAAATGTGAAAAGATTTTCAACAGCCAAACAGCATTTTTAATCTAGAACATTAGATTATTTTTTTCCTTTTTATTTCTTCTGACTTGACAAGTAGCTCAGTACCCCTATGGCTAGTCCCTCTATGGTTTGATACCTGATATTTGCAGTTCACTGTGAGTTTATCTTGCTTTCAGCAGGTGCTGGATAGCACTTTTTGGGTTGTTATACAAAACATTCAAGATTGTTTAAATTGTTAAAAAGCTATTGGAACTCCTGCTCCCTCTCCCACTCACTGCCTATTCTAGTGTCCCTGGCCTTCCTGATTCTTCCCTAAAATGTGTCCCCAACATGCCTATTTACATAGCTTTCAGGCACTAGGGGTCTGCATACCCATCACATACCAGATCAATTTCTAACAGTGTGAAGGCTGTTGGAGCAGGACAGTTTCCTTCCATTAGAGCTGGGTGTAGCCATGTTTCTATCAACACAGGGACCCTTCTATGTAAAGCTTAGACTATCGTCTCATGGTCCCACCTGCCTTGGCTCTGATTGATGTAACAACAGTATCTGTCATAGGGGCTGTTCTGCTTGTAGGAACAAACGATGATACTGTCCTGGGGCACAAAGAAGATGCTGTCCTCTGGCTCAGGGCAGTCAGACCTGTCCCAGGCTGAGCCCTTGGCCTCCAAGGCACTATAGGCGAGGGAACTGGCCGAAGGGCAGTACCCGTCCAAGTATCTGGATGTCTCCTGATGTGCACTCTGGACGAGGCTCTGGCATTCTCCTTCCTCCTTGGGTGTGGGGGTGGTGATGGAGCTGGCAGTTGGCACCTCACCCTGCCCTTGTGGGAGAGACTTCCCTCTGAGACCTGCCTTCTTAGCCAGCTCATCTGAGCTCCCCTTTCCTGACTCCAGGTCCGAAGGGGTCCTCAGAAGTTCCACTACCTCCTTGTCCTTAGGTTTCCGGAAGCAGGGCAGCTTGCGGACCCAGAGCAGCTCATTCTCGGGCCACTTGGTGCACCCTTCTGTTTTCCTGGCCAGGGCAATGGCAGCGATGCCCGGTAGGCAGATGGCTGGTCCGATGGCCAGGAGGGGGATGTTCCCCAAGGTCTCCCCTTTCATCCCAGAGACGGTGAACATGAAGCCAAAGACCAAGAAGACACTGACCAGGGCCACCACCAGCCCAGTCCTGGGGTTAATGTCATCGGGCCGCATCTTTTACTCCATCCAGGTTGGGGGCTGCTTGCTGGTCGGAGAGCACTGTTTCTCTCTTCTGTCAGAGGCGAAACCACAGTGGGTTAAAAAATAAAAACAAAAATTAAAAAAAAATCCAAGTCAAGTTCCTACCTGCCAACTCGATTTCTCCCTTTCTGTCAGTCTTAGTTTGTCTGTCTCTTTCTCTTAATCAACCAATCTTCCTCTCTCTCTGTCTGTCACTCACTCACTCACTCACTCACTCACTCACTCACTCACTATTACAGCCTCTGTCTCTTACACAAAAACGTTCACAGACTAGGGCCATCGAGGTACCTGAGGTTTCCTGCTGTCTCCCGGACGCAGGGAAAGAAGCCCGTCTGAGTCCTCTCAGAAACTCGCACAGCAGATGCCCCTCGGTTCACTCCCTTGTTTCTGGGCAGAAAGCCTGACTTTTCCCACGGTCTCTGCATCCAGAAGACCGGACGTGGACGCGTGTCGTTCCCAGCAGTGCCTGTCGGTCCTGGGCAGCCGGAGCGGGCGCAGCAAGCGCGGGCTCTGCGCGGAGCAGGGCGCTGGAGGAGGAAGGACTGTCTGGAAGAGGGAACGCGGCGCGCGAGCCTGGACCGGTTACATCACATCCAGAGCCAGCTCAGAAACAAAGACTGACGCGCGAGGGCGGCAGGGGGTCCGACCCTGGGGAGAGGCCACCAGGGCGGAAGAAGCGGCCCAGGGTCTGCCCCAGGGGTGCTTCCGACAGCGGGGCTACCCACTGACCTGTAGGGCTGGACAGGGCACCGTACCCGCTCCCAGGCGAGTGGGGAGTCTGGGGCGCGAAGCTGCCGCTGGCGGAGATTTGGACCCAGGTCGGATTGCCTACTAGGCAGCTGTGGAACGTCGGAGCCTGGGCTCCAGGTGCGTGGGGCAAAGGTGCCAACAGCAGGCGTCCCTCGTGAGCCGGATTCCTCCTCCTTCAGTTACAGTCTGGAAGACTCGCACCGCGCAGACAGCGGCTTCCAGGGGCGCTTTCCTCAACCGCGAGGATCTTGGGTCGCAGAGGGCTTCACCCCTCAAGGGTCCCCGGCAGCGGACCGGTCTCGGTCCGGGCCCAGATGAGCGGCAGCTGCGCGTACGAAAGCCTTTGCCACCCAGCCAGCAACGCGTCTCAGCGTAGGACTAAAGCCTACGAGGAGTTAGTTAGTAGCTAGTGGTGGGCACCCTGTTCCGCCCAGGTCTTAAGGGAAGCACCAGAGACCCTTCACCTGGCCTTCCAGCTCCGGATCCGATGGGGGGGGGGTGGTCTTGGAGCACTCGGTCACAGCTGTGGCGCCAGGCAGGCGCGCTGGGGCGAGGGAAGGGCTTCCCGCCCTGTGTCCCCACTCCCACCGCCACCTGGAGAAGTCAGGCCCACCATAGGGTGATGCAGCGCCGGTTTTGAGCGATCCTCTCTTCCTTCGCTGAAGCTGGCTTGGAGAACCCAAGTCTCTCCTCTCTCTATCGCCCTGCAGCGGGAAATGGATTCCACTGGCCCCAAGGGCAAGACTAGTTTCACCGTGGTTCTTCAATGTTGTTGTTGTTGTGTACCGTCCAGTCGGCCCGACTCATAGCGACCCCTCCTTGGGTTTCCGAGGCGGTATTACTACGGAAGTAGATTGCCCCATCTTCCTTCCCAGGAGTGGCTGGTGGGTTTGAACCGCCAGCCTTCTGGTTAGCAGTCAAGTGCCTTAGGCACTACGCTACCAGAGCTCCCGTGGTTCTTCAATAGGGCTGTGCATTTAGGTTGGGGCGGGAGATAATAGGGGGCGCGAAGGCGAGGATACATTCTTCCACTGCCTTGGTGGAAAGAATTCGACACCCTGCAAACCGGCTTTCCTGCTTAAACCAACTGTGTGGTCTTGGGCAACTGATTTAACCTCTCTGAGAATCAGTTGACTCATCTGTAAACTGAGACTATTAATACCAAATACATGGGATAATATTGTGAAGATTAAATAAATGTAAGGTTCCTGGCACAATGCTTGGTACATGGTCCCTGTTCAAAAAGTGGTTGAAATATATACATTCATAGCGTGTCATCAGAATCAGTGTTCCTATCAGGAAAAAGGAAAAGAACAAAACAAAACAAAAACCGTTGCTGCAAAGGAGCCTGGGAAATCAGTGTTTTTGTTTTCTGCTTTTGACCAGGTACATTACCACTCTAAAAAGCAAGCAACAGAGTTCTTTTAATAAGGAAAAGTGGAGACTGAATATTGAGGAAGCAGCTAGAGTATGTGCAACAACAGTTGAACACCATTCCCTTCTTGAATCCCTCCCTTCCTCTGCCTTTACTAACACTACTCTATCTTGCTTTTCCTCAAATCTCCCTGGACACTTATTTGTAGGCTATTCTGTAAACTCTATTTTATTCTTTCTTTCTTTTTTTTAAACAAACTCCTTAGAAATGGATAGTTCCTGTTATCCTCCTTCCTGACTCTCTTTGCTCTCTCCTCTCCTCTTATAATAGTTTCAGATACCCACTGTATAGGCTGATGATTCCTAAATTTATCTCTCTTGCCCTGTCCTTTATCTTTGGCCCCAGAATGATATTATCTAATTATCTGCTTGATATCTCTCTCTGGATAGCATAGAGACACCTCAAACTCAACATGACCCACAGTGAACTCATCATACCTCCTCCAAACCTGCTCTTCTTCATCTGATCCCATCATCATCTAATTTTTCCAATTGAAGAATCTGAGAATTGTCCTCTACCCTTACTTTCCCTGACTACCTACACCCAAAACATCACCCAATTCATTGTAGTTTTACCTCCTCATCCCTTGATCATCCCCTTTTACCTGTAGCCTCGGGCAAATCACTTTACCTCTCTTGATTTCAATTTCCTGAGAAACAAGGATGTGGATGAGGAGCTAGCTGAAGTCCAATTCAGTTCTAACATTCCATGGTTCTCTGCAGTCACTTCTGCTAGGATAAGTTGAAGTAATTGTTGTGCAAGTGCTCTGACAATGGTACTGGAAATCCAGTTGGGTCCTAAAGAAGCAAGATTGCTAAGCAGAGATCGTCTCTTGTACAAGAATTTATTCCATTCTGACTTTTAAGCCATGCAGTTCATGTACTTAGGCATTAGATAAGACTTGTACATAAAACCACAGGAAACTTCAATTACTGTTTAATTATAAGCCTCATTCTTAAAGCAATTCCTTCCTGGAAGTCATTTCAGATGGTCTTTGAACAGTGGGTATTGTTGTTCAAACCAGCAAAGATAGTGGGTAGAGGTGAGCTACATCACCCAGGACCACAATATTCAGAAACAGATAAAGCTGGTTGCACTAGAATTAAAAGCTTAACAGTTCTTGCAATTATAGCATGTAGAGTCATGTACAGAATATTTTCATCAGAAGAGAAATTCAGGATGGAATGAGGCTTTGATATGTGGGTGTTTTGAGAAGGAAACACAGAACCTTTTACTTCTGAAATTATAGAAACCATGGGATGCTAGAATTTGAAGGTCCTTTTAGAATATCTACTCCAATCCTCTGATTGTACAGATGAATTCCAGAAACACTTCATATTACTTGAATGTTTATTATATAATTGGCACTGTGCTAAGTGCTAGTCACCTAAGCTATGATATGAACTTCTTTTATAGAACTCACAATCACAGAGCAAGATATGTATATTAGTCAGGGTAGGATAATTTATGAAGTTGTAATGAAAGACCCCCAGGTCTCAATGGCTACATGCCCATACAACATGCCTATTATGAATCAGCTGCAGCCCTGCTCCATGTTATCTTCATTCTGGGATTCAGGCTGACAAAGCAGCCTCCATTTGAGAAATGTCAGTCTTGTAGCAGATAGACAAGAGAGGAGGGCAAAGCACATGCTTATTGTGAAAGCTTTTACCCTGGACTTTTTCATCACACCTATCTCTAAGGTTCCTCCTCCTCTCACTTCCTTTTTTGCCTAGCTGTTGTACCCTAAAAGGCTAGCTACTAGAGTCTTTGGAACTCTTGAAATCTAATGGATCAAAATTTTGCAGTTGTTGCCTCTGAGACTGATAGTGAGTACTTCATATTGTGCTGGAGAGATCATCTGGCATGAAAGACCTTGTTCTCTGTGTGGGATCACTTCATTCCTGGTGTGACAACAGGAATAGATGTGCTTGGAAGCACAGAGACTGTGGTGGCCAAACAAAGCTGTTCCTGTTTTAGCTTGTTTCTTCCCTGGACTTTTCCTAGTCTTTGTCTGCCTTTCTGTTACTTCTTAGTTTGAATTTTTAGCTCTGGGGCTTGGAAACACTTGGGACATGTTTTCTGTCTACTTTCTATCTATCTTAGGGGTGTTTTTTTTTTTTTTTTGATTGTAGTACAGAAACTCATTGGAGCTAGCCTAAGTCGGGGGGTGGGCGGTGGGGGTGCAAAGAGGACTTATTACAAGGATTCTGGAATTTCTCTGAGAACTCAAGGTCAGGGATGCAGATGGACCTCTGGAAGAAGATGGAACCAGAGATTCAAATACTATCAGGTTTTTCTCTGTGCTGATCTTCTCTCTGAATCTCTTTTATTCTCCTTTTTATTTTCTACCTGACTATGGGAGCTCTGGTAGCATAGTGGCTAAAGGCAATTGACTGCTAACCAGGGGGCTGGCGGTTCAAATCCACCAGCAACTCCTCGGAAGGAAGATGGGGCAATCTACTTCCGTAGTGATACTGCCTCGGAAACCCAAGGAGGAGTCGCTATGAGTCGCGTTCGACTCGACGGCACATAACAACAACAACAACATAAGATTGGCAGTTGAGTCCACCCAGAGGTGCCTTGGAAGAAAGGTCTGGTGATCTTCTTCAGAAAAAATCAGCCACTGAAAATTCCATGGAGCACAGTCCTACTGTGACTCACATGGGTTTGCTGTACGTCAGAATCGACTTGATCACAACTGGTTGGTTGGTTATTTTCTACAGTTTAGTTTCCTCTTTTTGTCTGGTAGCATGTGGCACAGCCTAGCCCTCAGCAAGTCTAATGT